GAGTTAAAGTCATAACTATGTAGACTGTGTGCAAAAGGTTTGTGGGGGAGTAAGAGATTTATAATGTAATCAGAAAACTAATCAAGTAGATTTCATTCTGACTTTAAAAAAGACTAAAAAGTAGTGATACCAACCATTCTTCATTTCTCAAAGTTTCCTATAAGGCTGCCCATTCTGATTGAAAGAGATAATTCAAGGTATTTTTAAAATTTATTTTTAGTGCACTGTAGTTATACATAATAGAGGGGTTCATTTTAACATATTCATAAATGCATAGAACATAGTTTTCTCCATTTTAATTCCCATTACTATCCCCTGATCCCTGTACTCTGCTTTATTGATCTTCCTTCAATTTATTTATTTTTAATTGGTACCTTACAGTTATATATAAATTTGGAATGCACTGGGATATAGTCACACATGCACATAGCATAATTTGGAAACTTTGTTCCCCAGTTCTTCCCCTTTTCCTCCCCTCCTCCCTCCCCCTTGATCCCCTGCTTCTACTCTACTATTCTCCCTTCTGCTTTCAGGAGATTCCCTTTTTTTTATACCCTTAAAGACAATTTTAAAATTTGATGTTCTTGGGAGGTAGAGGAACATACAAAGTGATTTGCCTTCCCTAGGGGTTGCCCTGTGGGATTTTCTTTCAAACAAGTCAAAATGATAATTTATTAATTTATTTGTGTGTGTGTGTGTGTGTGTGTATGTGTGTGTGTGTGTGTGTTGGGCAGTAGATCTTTCCTTACCTAATATAAAATGCCATGCCCACCATTTGGGCAACAGATATTTTATAAGAGGGTTCCTTTGTGAACATGGAATACAGGGATATTTTGCTAATACATACTTAATGCCAACATTTTCAGAGCCGGACTCCAGTTGGAGGGTGGGGAAAACAGAAGAAAATATTTATATTTTCAAGGGATGATCAGGAGGAGTTTTATAAAAGGCTACTTATTGTTTACTATGTATATGTTTATAACAAATAGTTTACACAGTTGATTTGTGAAGCCTAAATACCATAAAAGGGAAAGCTTATTTCAAACACTTTAAAATAGAAAGCTAATTTCAAATGTCATCATGTTCTAGTTTCTACATATGATTTAATTTCAAAGTATAGTACACTAAAATGAAAGAGAAATAAGGAAACAATATCTTAAAATCTTCCATTTTAATAAATTTTATTTTGTAGTTTTGTTCTATACCACAAAAAAACAAGGTTTACTGCTGGGCATGGTGGTGCATGCCTGTAATCCTGGTTTGGGAGGCTGAGACAGGAGGATTGGGAGTTCAAAGCCAGCCTTAGCATTTTAGTGAGGCACTAAACAACTCAGTGAGACCCTGTCTCTAAATAAAATACAAAAAAGGGCTGGGGATGTTTCTCAGTGGTTAAGTGGCCCCGGGTTCAACCCATGGTACCAAAAAAAAAAAAAAAAAAAAGCTTACTGAGTGGGATTATTGATCCAACACCCAAGAACCTGTTTACTATTCAGGTATGAACAATTTCAAGAGAAAAAGTTTCTCACCTTGGGCAGTTTTACCCAAATTAAGGCTTCCTCACTGGCAGATATTCCTTAAGTCCCATACACTAGAGTACTTAATAAAATGTAGCCCATGTTATGGTTCCCATCTGCCAAGAGGAGCAAACTGTTGATTTATGCTTAATAAAAATATGCATACCTTATTTGAATTATACAAAACCAGGTGCTAAATTAAAATGGCATAGAAGAGTCATTACCCTTATCAATCAGGAGAAGCAAGGGATAACAGTAAGGTAACTATAAAATCCAGAAGAGTAAATTACTTCTCTAAATGAAGGAAAACTACTTTTTCTGCATAACAACCTTATATATAATAAATGTTTCCACAAAAATTCCATTGCACTGTGAGCCAGGATAATTAAGATAGATAAAGTTAGGCAAATGATCAGCTATCTACCAGACACCCACTACAAGTGTTTACAAATTTAGAAAAGGGACCTCAAAATTCTTTTTTAAAAAATATTTTTAGTTGTAGATGGACACGATTCCTTCCTTCCTTCCTTCCTATGTAGTGCTGAGGATTGAACTCTGTGCCTCACACGTGTGAGGCAAGCACTCTACCACTGAGCTACAGCCCCAGCCCAGGACCTCGAAATTCTAACTTCTAAACTAGTCTCCTACTATAACCATCTTAGGGTTCTCTGTTGCTCCTACTTCATTATTAGGGGAAAAAACTGAGTCAACTAACTTCACTAAGTCCATTACCTAAAGTCATTACATGGCTGGTGGCAATCGCCAATTACTATATGGCAAAGAAATGAAATCTTAAAATACAATCATTAACACTTCTGGATGGTAATTATCTTTTCTTCATTAAACAAAATGTATCAGCTAACTTTATAAATGGATAGAACATATCACTAGGTTTTAGCAAACAACATGGTCAAATGCAAGCTTATGCTGGCACACAAACTTGTAGGAGGCTAATTCTAATATGGACTTACATAGTAAAGTGCAATTTTAAGTAAGAATACTATAATTGAATATCCAAGAAAATAAGCATATTCTTTTGCTCTGATCCAAAAAGAACCAAATTTAGAAATAGCTCTTTGCTCCTTTCTGGTCCATTTTGTTTAATTTACATGGTCTTATAATGGCAGCTCTCATGCAATAATTAAGGCATCCTGTCAATACTATGGGTAAAATAATCATGCAGAGATACAAACTGACCACCAAGTCAATAGGCTTATCACTAGTCACAACATGTACCATGTGACAGAAATCTTGGTTTATTTCTTCAGACAAATAAATTTCCTCTTATACTAGAGAGAAGGGAATGATTAAAGAGGTGGGTGGGATGGAGAGAAGAAACTGATACAAATGGTCCATGGTTTAAGAAGACATGAAAAATGAAAACTCAAACACAGAAAATAAGTAGTAATTTTATAAAGGAAACTTAACAAGAAAAATACCACCTAACACTATATTATTGTGACTTGATTCTTCAGCATTTGGTTGACCTATTATTTTTCAGAAACACAGCTGTATGAAGTGAAATACACTTATTTGGTAAATATAGACAGAAGATCAGCAAAAATTCTGGTCAAGTAAAATTATGGGAAATCAAAATATAGTAGATGGGGCTGTGGTTGTTGCTCACTGGCAGAGCACTTGCCTAGCACCCGTAAGGCACTGGGTTTGATCCTCAGCACCACATAGAAACAAATAAAGGTATTGTGTCCATCTACAATTAGAAAACATTTAAAAAATATAGTAGACAACTAACTACCTCTGAGGCTGTTAACAGAGGGATGTAAGATCTGTTTCAAATATATCCTGACCTATTATCAATGGACCCAAATGGTTAATTTACATGACTGAGTAATTGGTTTTCAAATTAAAACTTATTCTCAAATTTTAATCTAGAAAATACCTGTTATCTACTAAATGGCAACTCTTCTGCAAAATAACACCCATAATTTCTAAAAACCAGAAAATGACAAACTACCAAGTTTATAGTGGCAATTTTTGTTGCCATATTTTCAAAAGAACTTTTTTAAAAGCTGGATAAAATAAATAGGTGTTGCAAGATTTTCTATCTATATCTGTATCTATATATGACCTGTAGAAACTCAGAATTCTCTTTGGAGATGGCTTTAAAAAATGGGAAATAACAGCACACATTTATTACCATTTTAACAACATACATTGATTTGGTACCTTTTATCTTTCATTTTATCCTCTCAACTGAAGTAGGCACTGTTTTACAAAAGAAGAAAATCAATGTCACATCCCCCATTAATTTTCACTCAATTTTTCAATCATTTCATTCTAATTATAATTTGCCTGATCTTCCTCCTCTCCTACTCCATCCTCTCCCTTTATCCAGATAATGAGCACTTTAAAGGTGGGGAACAGAATCTTAACAGTCGTTGTATCTGAACATTCACTGTAGCATAGAGTGATCCTGTGAGGCTGAGTAAATGAAAGAATTTAACAAATATCATCCAACAAGTAAGAGATGAGGATGGGACTAAAATGCAGGTTTTCAGATTCCTCTCTCTTTCCTGTACATCATGCTGCCTAAGTTAAGCCAGGTCTACCAACTGCAAGGTCACAATACCGACCAGAAATGATCATGAAAAAGAGTTCTCCTCTCCCCAACGTCCAGAAGTTTGAATGCCCCTGCCCAAGACTAGTGACCTCAAAATAACATTCTCTGGAGACTTCAGACACTTGACCAAGGAGCAGTTCTTAATTTTTAAATCTAAAAATTGAGGGGACGGCAGTGTGAGTTAAGCAGAAAGCGTTGAATTTCCATTTTTCTAATGGATTTGGTTTAGAGAAGAGCCAGCTTCAAACACTCAAGAGAAATGTATTACGACGTTGTAACAGTCTGGGAGGAGCTCCAAGGACTGAAAACTTGGAGACAAGTAAAGGACGCTAAATTTGGGAGAGGTCAGTAATTCTGAGCCCGATGCCTCGACCTCTTCCACATCCCTCTCCCCAATTCAATCCCCGATTTGATGCCTACCTCTCAGGATGCGATGGGGGCGCTTCTTTCTCCTCGCCATTCCCGTGCTCCCATACCACCCCCTCCCACACACACACACTTAAAACTCCCCAGGTGGTGATTATCGGTATATATTTTGGGGGAAAAGTTAAGTCCACAACTGAGAACTGGCCCCTAATACCAGGCTAAATGTGACTGTTCTAGCTTAAACACTAGCCATCAGCCCCCTCCCCCATAGGAAGCGACAGGGCAGGTGCCTGATTCTCTCTCCGCCTCTGAAAGAAGCGTTCCCCACTCCCTTGTCCCACCCAAAGAGCAACTGCTCGTCCAGGGCTCTGTGGTGGTGGCGGAAAGGTGGTGGTAGTGGCGGCGGGAGCTGAACCCCTGTCCCTCCGCCCAGGGTTTAGGATCGGGCATCTGGAAAGCGACGAGTAACTGTTTTCCTTACCACCTTTTAACTAATAGTGAACAGAGTCCTGAGGCAAATAGGGCCAGCCACAGCTTACCTGTGAGACCTCCTCCACCTTCTTCCCCGTAGCCTCGACGCCGTTGCAGCACGAAGTAGTCGTTGGACCTTTCCATCAGCCACAGCTTCAGCGCATTTTTCAGGAGCACTTCCTCAGGCTTTAGCCACATCGCGGTGAACTTTGTGCCCCACCGGGAGCAGCGACCTATATGCCCTCTTCACCTCACCCACAACCCGCTTTTCCCCCTTTTACTTCTCCGCCCACCAAATCTTCCTCTGGCGGCAGCGGCTCAGGTTCAGGTTTCTACACTTCCCCCAACCCCCCCTTCTCTCCCACGTAGGCAGCAAGATTGCCAATTCCCTCCCACAGCGCTACCGCCCGACTGGGAAATAGTCCCGCTTCCTCGCCTATTGGGAGTTGTAGTTTCCTGCCCCTTTGTCTGTATTCACGAGACCTCAGCATGGAACTACACTTCCCAAAATGCATTGGTTGAGAACGGGTGGGGGATGCTTTCAAAGTGGGTCCCGCCACTTGTTAAGCGTGTTTTGGCTGTGTAAAGTTTAAAGCGTTTTTGGTTCTAATAAGTTAACCTTAGGTATAAATATGTTGGGCACCTCATCCTTTTACAGCGAGGGTTTTAATTTGTAAAAAACAAACTTTCCGGAATTTTGTAGTAACGGCTCATTCTGGGAAGCAGCAGTAGCAGCAACTGACAAGTTAAGTAGTGCTCCTTGCTTGGTATTGTGTACTTAGGCGATCTCATGATCTCGGGACATCACATCTTCTTCGCCACTTTCCACATCAATAAATGAAAGCACTAACAAGTGAGGTGACTTATCCAAGGTCACACAGTGCTATGATTCCTCGTCGAAGTTCAAAATTTTGTCCCGCTTGAGCTAGCTCTAACTGCTCATATTAAAAGAATATAAAATCTCCATAAGCCACACATTTTCCTTTTGCCACGCATCTCTCCCTTCCCTCGCTGCCGACCCTGTTTATTGAATTACTGTAATAAGCCAAAGAAACTCTCTAGACCATTTTTCCTTTTCAAGATCCAAGCAGTTTATAAACAGGTTTGTTGTTGGTTGTTTTCTTTCTTATACTCTTTTAAGGGGGGAAAAAACCTTTTTAGGCCAGCCTTCATCTCTTTATTATATTCTGGCAACACATAGCTTCAACACTAAGGTGAAAGAGGCCAGTAATCTGCATGACATACCTATGAGGAATTTGTGAGGGTTGTTTTTATTATGATAAGTTAGTTCCCCCAGAGTTAAAGAGTGCATTAAAAGGGGAATCAAGTTTACAGGAAGGAAGGAGTTGGGAGACAATGTACAAACCAGGGTTCTTGAAAAGGTATTTTGGGAATGAATCCTCAAGGCCATATGGTTTAGAAAACTGTGGGGTGCGGCATACACAGATGCCAAGTCCTGGAGCCCAGGAACTCTGCCCTGAAGGAGCATCGTCTCTGGCTTAGCCTTCCCAAGATGTGGGAGCATGCTGCAAGCAGTAATTTTTCTTGTGGGTGAGAAAAAAAGTGCAATCCGGGATTCTCTTCCACAAAAAGGCAGTTAAGTCTTAAGGCAGCTCTCTGGAGAATATGGGAAGAGGCAATCTTCCCAGAGCCCAGACTGCAAAGTATCCTTGGGAAAAGCCATCCCAATTTGGATGTTAATAAGGAAAATCATTTCTTCTCATCTTTCTGGTAAAAAATCAGCAAACACAGCAAATGCAGAGATATGAAGTTTCTTATTTCCCTTTTACTTTTCCTTCCCTTTTTAATTTCCTTCCTCATCAAACCACATTCTTTTCTAATATCCTTAAAAGTTAAAGTGAGCAGAAATGAATGTCTGTTTTTTTTTACTTTTTACTCCAGATATACCCACAGACTCCCTGTTTTGGGATCAGGCCTACTTTCAGTTCAGAGCAGAGCTTTCAGAGAGCTCCTGCTTTAGTAAATAAACATCTCACCCACCATGCAAAGACAACATTTTTCAAATTGAGTTACTTTTTAATGTAAAGCTTTAGCCAGATTATTTTATGCCTTCATAAATATAAATATTTTTTCCAAAAGTATTTTTAAAAATAAAATATCACTCCTTATTGTTCAATAGTGCATGTTAATGTAAATTGTTAAGAAGAAGGACCTTATTGCAAACATCCTTGAATATTATTGGTGGTATTGTACTGATACTTAATATATATTATATCATTTATTTTTTCATTAATAATACACTTCTTTATGTTTACTTTATAGATGAAGGTTCAGAAAATATACTTTCCAAGCCAATTTTGTTTTATTGTCTCAGATGTGAAACATGTACAAAACTTTACATATATATACATAATTACATAATATATAATCATATAATTATAACAATATGATTATGCAATACAATAACAATATAATGCAATAATTATTATAATTATAATTTATATATAATTATGTAATATTAATATTAATCAGTATAATAATATAAGCTCTAGGTTATGATTTCCAACCTTTTTTTTGGTACTGGGGAGTGAACTCAGGGGCAGTTAACCACTGAGCCATATCCCCAGCCTTTTTTATTTTTGATTTTGAGACATGGTCTTGCTAAATTGCTTAGGGCCTACCTAAATTTTTGAGGCTGGCTTTGAAGTTGAGCCGCTGGGATTACTGGTGTTCACCTATTTTAATGCACCCATGTCAATTTCATTGAAATAATCACAGACTTGAAAACTTCAAATTTAGTCAGGCTCAGTGGTGCATGCCTGTAGTTCCAGAGACTCAGGAGGCTGAGACAGGAGGATCAGGAGTTCAAAGCCAGCTTCAGCAAGGGTGAGGCGCTAAGCAACTCAGTGAGACCTTGTCTCTAAATAAAATACAAAGTAGGGCTGGGACAAGGCTCAGTGGTTGAGTGCCCCTGAGTTCAATTCCTGGTACAAACAAAACAAAATAAAACAAAACAAAAAACCTTGGAATTTACTGGATTAACAGCATACAGTTAAACACATGGCAGAGCTGGAATCTGAACCTAGATATATTTGACTACAAACCAAAACACTATCCTGTCCCTGTATATGGTCCACAGAAACCCCAAACATAACATGTCCAAAGTCAAACTCATTTCTCCGAAATCCCACCTGACTGATGTTTTCCCTACTAGGTTCTCTTATTTAAGGGCACTACTGTGTACCAAATTGCTGAAGCCAAGTATCTTGGAATAATCTTAGACTTTCTCTCATCACCTCCTTTTCCCCTACCTCCACCAACCTCTCTCTTCCAATCCCCACTTTCTTTTAAAAAATCCATCCCATCTTCCTACTATGGCTTTAGGTTAGCCTGACAGCACTTCCTTGCTATATTATTATAATGGCTTCCCAACTCGTCCATCTGCTTCCATTCTTGTTTTTTGATTTATCTAAGCCAAATGTTTATGGGCCCAGTGCCCATGTGGAGATGAATAACACCTCATTTATCCAGAGGTCAGTCTTTCAGTTGATTCCGTCTTTTATTTATTTTGGAACTGGGGATTGAACCCAGAGGAGCTTTACCACTGAGCCACATCCCCATCCCTTTTTATTTATTTATTTTTTATTTTGAGACAGGGTCTTGCTAGGTTGCTTAGGGCCTCATTAATTTGTTGAGGCTGGCTTTGAACTTGAAATTCTCTTCCCCCAGCTTCTCAAACTGCTGGGATTACAGACATGTGCCACTGCATCCAGCTCAATCACCTATGAGGAAAGGTGTAAGGAAACCCCAAATATCAATTCCAAACCCATATTAGGCTGAGTTTGTCATTTGGTGGTTTATTGGCTTCCTATTTAAAATGAAGTTCGCTAGCTTAGTTTATGATTTTTTTAATAGTCTGCAGCAGATTCAGAAGCAGTAAACTTCAGTGCTTAAGTACTGCTAGTGAATAGCCATTCAAAGCTTCACTAAGAATCTTAAAGCAGCAACATCTGATCACCAAGTAGCTAATGCAAAATCCAGAATCACAAACCCTATGCAAGACCTGCTGAATCAAAATGTACATTTTATAAGGTCCTTAGGTAATTTGTAGGAACACTAAAGTTTTAGATGCACTGAGTTAAAGCAAATTAGAAAATCAAGCTCCAACAAATTGTGGGTAATAATCATGTTTCCAATAAGACCCACATAGGCATTGTAAAAAATAAGCTGTTAAGAAATTTTAGATGACTGAATTGCTTTTTTAAAAAAGTTGTATCAGGAAATGTTCATGAAAGTTCTACAATGCATTGGTTATGACCTGGGATATCAGTTGGAAACAGCTAGAAAGGGAAATTGACACTAAACATCCATACCAAATCCTGTTTATAATATTCTCTAGCTATTAAAATTCATAGGTGTACCTATGGGTGTCTCACATTCATGAGATTGGTTTACATAGAAAAAAGTTGAGAACTAGTAAGTGTTTCTTGACCTTTTAACCAAATTAACTGTGATATTAGGGGCTAATGAATATCTCTGGAGGTCAAAGTACCCACCATAATAATGAATTTTTTACTCTCATGCTGTATATTAATATAAATTTTAGCTGGGCATTGCAGAGCACAACTGTAATCCCAGCTGTCTGGCGGGCTGAAGCAGGAGGGTTCCAAGTTTGAGGCTAGCCTGGGCAGCTTAGTGAGACAATATCAAAATAAAAATTAAAAATAAAAGGGTTGGAGATGTAGCTTAATGGTAGGGTTCTTTGCCTAGAATATGAGAGGTCCTGGGTTTAATCCCTAGTACCACAAAAAAATTTATATTGTTTAATGTGGTTAAAATACTAAAAAGTTACTTCACATAGAAGCAATAGGCAGGGTAAAAAACTAAAAAAAAATTATATCTTTTTAAGTTCTTTAAGATCCTTTAAGTTCTTTAAAATATTTCATAAATGAATAAAAACTAGATGTAGGTGGAATAAGGAATGCTCAAAGCATTCCAGTTGTCTCTATAAAGATACTTTTACTGTATGACCTGGAAACCATGTGTGTTTTTAAGATAACAAAACCTGAGTGAGTTCCATTAAACATACAGCTAATCAAAAAAACCCTTTCTTTTTTTTCCTTATCATGTCCAACCGCAAGAATTGTATCCTAATTAGAAAAATTAATACTCCATGTATGCATAATATGTCAAAATTTACTCTACTGTCATGTATATTTAAAACGAACAAATAAAAAACCCCATCTTTCTTAAATTGGCAATTCTCTATACAGAAAAATATTATCTAATGCCACAGGTAAAAGAATCAGCTAATACTTGGATTATTATGTGACAGTATATAATAAAAAGTCTGATGGTCAAGCTAAAGTATATCAAATGATAAAAGAGAGGTAGTAAGAAAATCCAAGGTGGCATGGATTTC